GTCAGCCGTGCCCCGTACCCCACTCCCCATGCCGTGCCTCAGTTTCCCCGCTCACACCACCCCTCCCTGCTGCAGTTTGGGGGTCAGCCATGCCCCACACCCCACTCCCATCCCCCGTTCCCCATGCTGTGCCTCAGTTTCCCTGCTCACACCACCCATCCCCGCTGCAGTTTGGGGGTCAGCAGTGCCCCGTACCCCACTCCCCATGCCGTGCCTCAGTTTCCCCGCTCACACCGCCCCTCCCCGCTGCAGTTTGGGGGTCAGCCGTGCCCCGTCCCCCCCCACCCCACGCCCCCGGCCCACCTTGAGCTGCTGCTTGTCCAGGAAGTGGTGCTGCAGGGCGCCGTGGGGCAGCGCCGCGGGGCTCTGGGGCAGCGGCGAGGACTGCGTGCGGCTCAGGGGCCGGTGGCGCGGCAGCTTGCTCCCGCGGGGACCCCCCCCGCGCCCCCCGGTCACCAGCGGGGACTGCCCGTGCAGGGGCACTGCGGGCACGGCGTCAGAGCCACCCGAAACCCGGGACAGAGGGACAGACGGGGACAGACAGGGGGACAGACAGGGAGGGAGCGAGGGGTGAACTGGGCGGGACTGGGGGTCACAGAGAGCAAACTGGGGAAGGACTGGGGACACTGGGAGGGGAGCAGGGGGACATTGGGGGGACATCGAGGGGACACTGAGAGGGGAGCAGGGGGACACCACGAAAGGACTGAGGGGACAGTGAGGGAAGACTGGGGGGATCGGGGGACACTGAGGGGACAGAGCAGGACACTGAGGGGACACTGAGGGAGGACTGGGGGGATCAGGGGGATACTGAGGGGACAAAGCAGGACACTGAGGGGACACCGAGGGAGGACTGGGGGGATCGGGGGACACCGAGGGGACACTGAGGGCATGGAGCAGGACACTGAGGGGACACCAAGGGGCAATCAGGGGGACACTGAGGCAGGACCAAGGGGACACTGAGAGAGGACTGGGGGGATCAGGGGGATACTGAGGAGACACTCAGGGGGATAAGGGGCACACCGGAGGGGATAAGGGGCACACAGGGGCACACCGAGGGCACACGGGGGCACACTGGGGGCACACGGGGGCACACCGGGGCACACCGAGGGCACACCGAGGGCACACCGAGGGCACACGGGGGCACACCAGGGCACACAAGGGCACACTGGGGGCACACTGGGGGCACACTGGGGGCACACCGGGGGGGATAAGGTGCACATGGGGGCACACCGGGGCACACCGAGGGCACACCGGGAGGGATAAGGGGCACACCGAGGGCACACCGGGGCACACCGGGGGGGATAAGGGGCACACTGGGGCACACCAGGGCACACCAGGGCACACCCGGGGGGATAAGGGGCACACCGAGGGCACACCGGGGCACACCAGGGCACACCGCGGCACGCAGCGCCGGGGCTCACCAGCGATCAGGGCGCTCTGCTGCCGCGCCTGCTCCAGCAGCAGCACGTGCTGCAG